ATTACCTAAGTTTTGAAATTCGTCTGGCAATTTGTTAAATATTTTAATGGACTTGACAAAAAATTTAACTTTTTGCTTAATTGAGACTCGTTTCGATCCTGCAGTCAAACTGTATATACAGTTTTGTAGGACCTATGTTTTATTTAAATATATTGTACCCCCTTTTTTGAATTCAAATAAAAAAAATAGGCCACCTGCATGCATTTTGAGACAGTAGCGAGGAAGTATTAACCTGTGTGGGGTGCCTTGATGTTACCATGATTATGTTAACAACTTGTCAAAACACATTTAGTGCACTCAAACACGATAGTTCTACTGTTAGTTGTTTATTCGGGTAGTCTGAAGACAATTCTGTTTGCATCATCATGTCAACATTAGCATATTATTTTTTTGTAATCGGGTTTCCACAATAAAACAAATTTGTAATTCATTTTATGACTAAAATCCTTAGACCAATTGTGCAAATTTGATCTTTAAACAGCTGGACATATGTTTTTCAAACATAGCTAAGAATTGAAGCAGACGGTGTAACAAGTATCGCATAAAAATGAGACGAGAAAATTGAAAATAAAGTTTCAATGTCTTATATCTTTTTGATGTTTGTTATATGACTCTTATATACTTTATTATTTATTTGTCCTATGATTTAAGTAGCTAAAAGATTCATATGTTAATATTATTTTAAAATATTTGAAATTTTTTTTTCCATGTGTTATCCACCCTTGTCGCACCGAACCGGTAAATTAATGAAGAGTTTTATTATTGGTTTTTAAGGAAATAAATAATAACTTTAGATACATATGTGAATCAGTCTTATTTAAAAGTTACATTGAAAAAATTTTAAACATATTCTTAATCATTCATTAAATTCGTTGGGTTGAAATAAATCGTCAGAATCGTCTTCAACAGGTCTTACTGGCCTCTTAGATGCTCCAGGTCGAGGATCAAATCGCGCATTTCAAACATTTATTTGCATTAAAATAAGTTTTATAATCTATACAACAAGGTCGGAGCGCCACCTTCTAGATGAATGATACTTATGCCATCTAAAAGAGATAGATCAATATGTATTTTTGTCACAAAATACTAGATAGTGCTTTACATGTTTTGATGCAATAACATCAAAATGGCCCCTGGATACCAAACATCCATGTTGCTTCTGCTCCTTAATATTTCAATTATCCTGTTTAAATTAATCTTCAAATAAAAAGAAACGCTTTGAGATTAGTCAATCAGTTTAGGAGCTGCGATGCCATAGTAAATAAATAAAATAAAATAAAAACATTTACTTACATTTTGGTTCAGTAGCTCTGTGCTAGAGCAGTTGCTTAAAGTTTGACGGTTTAATTCCCTGTGCCAGTGTTTATTTATTTATTTATTATTATTAGGGTGGCTTAATTCAGGGACTATGCAGCCCTTCATCCTGCGACCATTAGCGCTGATCTATTGTAATCACCATTGACTATAATTCGGAGCCAAGGCCAACAGCATCAAAGAACTAAAGGACTTTCCTGGCTCTGACAGTTTTTATATCCTCTGGTTGTGTGGCCTATGTCTTCCCAGTATGGAACTTTATACACCTATAAGGAGGCAGCATTGGGTAAGGACATGCAGAGGAGTTTCATCCGCCTCGTGGCAGACTTTGCATTCTCTGTTTTCTCAATGGGTGTGCTTGTTTAAGCCACAGTGCCCTGTTAAGTGTCTAGTTAGCGTTCTGAGGCCAATTTTGTCCAGTGACAGAGCTTTCCCATAGTGTTTAGCACTGTAGGCAGAACAGAACAAAAATACAGTACAAGTGGTTAGTTAACGTACGCACGCGTGCCAACTGTAGGCGTAGTTCCGCCTACATGAGCTCAGTCCGCCATTTTCGCTTTGTACATTATAGTTGTGTCAATTCTTGCTGTTTTGGAGTGCAAAAATGATAGCTGCACCTAAAATATTACTGATGGTGGTATTTCATATCATCGGTAAGTTTTATTTTAATAAATTTTCAGTTTTCTGTTTATCAAATTGGTTATTTGTACTATAACATACGAAAGTTAATCCCAGTGCAATATGGTCGAGTTTTATCTTTTGGAGAACTAAGTAAATATCTAGAATTTTCCACGCTAGTAACGAACAAAAGCCTAGCGAAAAAATGCTTTATGTGTGTATTACTTCTATTGTTTTTTTCTTCCATGGTAGGCAGCTATCAGGGCTTTTGAATGCTCAAGACCCTTGGTCTGCAGCCACACGTCTCGGGAGACAAACACTGGTTATTCCAATCTCTGATAAAAATAGTTCCACCAGAGAGTAACAAATAAGTAATTTGCAATGGTAATTTGCATCGGTATTGTTCAGTTGACTGGCTTATGTCATCTCAATTATTGAAATATGCGACACACCCACATATTTACATTGTCTTGCTACAGTTTTTATGTTGTCAAGTTCCCATGAGATATAGGATGAGGATATATTTTTAATCGACTTTGTGAGCCGATTTCTATGATTCGTTTTTTGTTGGAAAGAGGGTACCTCTGTATTGGTCCCATTTAAATCTGAAAAAAATATTCCACCTCCAAAGGGTGGCAAACTAGGGGATGTATCCGGTTTCGCACACTCTCACAGAAAGTCGGTTACTGAACCGATTTCTTTTAACTTTTTGGTTTTTTTAGTACACTGTACTGGGACTGTATTAACAATCTAAGAAACATTAATGACCAGCTATTGTTAATGTTAGAAGGATAAGAGGGCCTAGCCAAGTGGCATTCGCTCCCATTCTATTCCATTTCTACAATCGTCATCGATTAGACGTGAACGATAATAGATTGGTAGCCAAAGTGACAAGAGCCTGACGATCGCTCATTCTATTCGATAATTCGTTAAAAATCAAAATATAGTCTACGGTTTCGACGGCAAACTTCACTTTGAATTTAATAACTGCCTCTGTGGCCGAACGGTTACCATGCCGGACTGCCACGTAGAGGTCCCAGGTTCGATTCCCGGGCCGGGAGAAATATTTGTATGGCCTACATTTATTTCTCTCGTGAGTTTGGGTGTAATTTGTGGTTGTCTATGTGTGTGTCCATGGCACCCGTAACACAGGGTTTCCCTAGTGCGGGGCTATGTTGAGTGTGTGCGTTATTATAAAAAAAAAAAAAAAAAAAAAAAAAAAAAAAAAATTTGACAAGTGGTCGATGTTCGTAACAAAACGCGCGGCATTGAAGTGGAATAAAGTAGTTTTAAACGTGAAAAGTGATTTCAAAGGTATTTTAAAGGTAAGTATCTGCAGAAACATTATATTTAGCTCTTCTGTGATATACTTTTGTCACCCATAATTCATGTAAGATAGATATCTTGCAAAGTTTTATTGTGATGTTACATTCCAACTTTAGAAGTATTTTCTTCATCTTTTTAGCAATGGAACCGAGCTTGCGAGCTAGTCTGGAGCAATCCTCAGATCTTGTAGAACGTATGGAAAGATACTCAATATAGGAATCATACATTTTTCATCCAAACTTATCAAAATGCAATTACCACTTGAGACTGATATAACGTAAACAATGACGTGATATAGTACAACCTAAGCAAAAGAAATTAAGACCGTGTATGTTACAGGCACGGCGCGGCGACCTCTTGAAGCCCCAGTCGGAAGCTCAAGGTCGCCTGAGAAGTGATCGACTGTGGCGATCTATGCGTGGCGGTGTCGAAAAGTCATCCGATAAATGGGATAAAGTAAGCTAGCCCACCTCTTTGATTTTACATTTATATATAATGAATGGGTTTTATCACTATCATGAACGGCGACATGCTGAGGGTACTGGTGATGGCCCAGACAGCCAACAAATTTTAACTGCTTTGGTACAGAGGGTGGTTACGATTTTAGGGGTGTCAGCAGGAGTAGGTCAAGCTAGTATCCAGGAGCAAATATTAATATATATAGAATACAATATAAATATAATAATGCACACACTCAACATAGCCCCGCACTAGGGAAACCCGGTGTCGCGAGTGCCAATGACGCACACATAGACAACAACAAATTACACCCAAACTCTTGAAAAAAAACAAATGTAGGCCATTCAAATATTTCTCTCGGCCCGGGAATCGAACCTTGGACCTATGCGTGTCAGGCCGGCATGGCAACCGTTTGGCCACACAGGCAGTTAAAATTTCATTTAGTCAATGTTACCACATAGTATAATAATAGTACCACATAGATATTATGTCCCGTCAACATATTCTGTCACCATGGCATTACCAGTTTATCATTCAGTCTTAGAACAAAAAAATTTTAAAAATAAATTTGTTCCTATTCAATTTTAAATCATCCCCTTTCATAACTTCTGCAATCATTACAACACCACATTATAATCTAGAACAAAATCTAAATTCTTTATCACAAACCCATTTAGCTAATATTAATACTTTTTCTTTTTCAGAGACCATCATCGTCAAATGAGGAAGTTCAACTACAACAAGCAAATTACTTCTTGACCAATGACATATAGTTGATGTAGTAAAATGTTATGCTTGTGCAGACCCACTTTTAACTTTGTATAATAATATCTGTAAGTAGGTAGGTGTAGAACTAAGTACATGGACCTACTGGGAATAAATAGGTGTATGAAGTGGGTAATACATTTATGAGAAACTTAATTATAATAGGTATTATCACCAAGTGAATACTTATTGTATTTTGTAAAACAAATTGCATATGGTTTACCATATTATTACTTAAGAAAAATAAATAGTATAATATTGTATATACAGGGTCAAGAGCACGTCAAGTTTAACACTAAGATTTAAATCCAACTCAATGCCGCTTTCGGTAAGAACGGTCCAAAGTACAAAGTCAAGCTTGATGTGCTTTTGACTGTACCTGAACACTTAAAATTAAAAGATTGAAGATGAATTTGTAAAATAAGAACAAAATAGTCTTGAAGTTAAGAAATAAATAATATTTATAATAAAAATAATATTTTATTTTTATATTTATAATTATTTTTCATTTTCTACATCACAATCTATTCACTAAAGAAATGGGCATGGCTCTGCCATGTTTTAGCTCATCTTGGCTACTACTGGTAGTCCCTTAACATCACGTTGCGCAGCCATATCACCTGGTGGGGGTAATTTGGCATTCAATGCAATGTTATGCAGTTCACCACATGGAATTACTATTTTACTGGTGACTTGGAGATGTTAATGAAGTGTTCAGTGCTTAAGTAAACATCTTCAATGTGTCTTCAGCAAGCCAAAACACCGTTCAATACAATTTGTGGCCTGGATAAGACGCCTGGTGTAATTCTCTTCTGGTGACCCTGATGCAGCATTTAAGATAGGCATCATTAGCCAGGCTCTTTGTAGGTATCCAGAATCACCTAAAACAATTAGGATTGTTTAAATTAACAATTAATCATAGGAGGCAGGCAATTGACAATTAGTTTGTAAAACTTAAAGCTGTTTTTGTTATAGGCCTAAATGTTTAGACTAACAACAAAACATATAGATTATGCAAAAAGTAGTTATGAATAAATGTTCAATTTTGTTCCTTACCTAATAGCCTGTTTGTTCACCATTTTGATGAAGGGCAAGCATGTATGGTTCCACTTGCCTGGATGACCATATAAGAGTCATGTGTGGCTCCACCATACTTAGCATCGACATTTAAAATTTTTAAGTTATGATCATAAATCTGTAAAATAGACAAAATTGTTGGTTGATACAGAGATAAATACGCTATATGCTATTCAAATTTTACGAATTAAACAAAGTAACTACATAATTAACTTCAGCATGTACCTTGTAAAATTTCAGATTTATATTAACCCTTCGACTAACTGTACAAAAATCACAGGACAAACAATTTCAATTTTAATACTAAAATTATCTTGTCAACCAATGAAATGTGTAATAGGCTAAAACTTACCATTTGTACATTTAATGGGTGGTATACTTTTATAAAAAAGATGCTCATCTACCATGGACTTCACAATGGTTACATGGGTGCAGTCAATGCACCCTATTACACCAGATAAATGAAATCTTATTTGGAACCTGTAAATTCATTAATAAAATTGATAAAAGTGAAATGGTGCAAATACGTTATCATTTGCGTGTTATTTTACTGAAATGTCACTTACCTCTGGGCTTAACTTGTTGCGTTTGTGGGAACACCCATTTACTTATTACATTCGGATGATTGAGGGCTTCCACAACTTGCCTAATGCAACGACTAGTTGTTCGCTGCAGCAAATGTTGCGAGACACACACGATCCACTGGTAAGAGCCTGTCGCCAAGGAAGTCAAGGCACAAAAAACCTACAAAAACAATATTTTTGTTATCATAACCTCTGGTGGTTGGTACCCATTAATATTACACTTCATATTACAGCAGTAGGCATAATTTCTTTACCTTAACTTCCAGTAGAAATGCTACGGTTCCTCTCAAACAGGTATGGGCCCGTAGGTGGAAACAAATGCTCGTTTATCCAATCTAAATGGTTCCCGAAACATAAAACCGGCATTTCGCCGATTTGCTCCAAGGACCGCCGAGAAACGTTTCTTTTTTGACGCCTGAGCTACACTTCTTCATTATGAGCAGCCCACAAGAGTCGAAGCGAATGCATTTCAAAGTTATTTATAAAAATTTGCACAAACACAACACAAAATTTCACCAGCTGATTATAAAATCGCCATTTTGTTTCGTTTTCTACAAGGTGTTGGCGATCGCTTCGTAATCGATCGATGGAATAGATAGCGAGCGTAAGCGATTGTCAAAATTGTCACTTTGGCTACGGTTTATATGGGAGTTGTCGAACGAGTTGGACGTTTCGTTTGATGGAATAGAAAGTGATTAACATTGGCTACCAATTTATCGTTCGTTACGTTACATCACGTGACATTTCGTACGCTTATGCCAATCCCATACATTGTCTTTCTATTCCATTGGCGATATCGCTAACAAAAAGACACGTTGGCTAGGCCCTAAGGGCATTTATTCGACACCAATTTCATCGCGCGGTCGCCTAGCGGAGTTCGTGTTGCTGCCGCACCGCGTCCGCGTGCATCTAACTGTCATGGCAAAATACGCTCTATTTTTTTAGCTTTTAGGTTTAAACTTAAATGAGCGTCCCAGTACGCGAGTCTGCCTTCAATTTAGTCTACGCGGCGAACGCGCGGTTGTATTATTCAGAGGAATTTAAATGTTGCTGCCTAGTAAATAGAATTCAGATTCGCTATTAATGTACATAAAGGCGTCGTAACTGGACGGTAAGGATTGTACTGATCAAAACACAGCAAGCGAAGCCAGCGAAGCTTAACCGATATGCGTGAAATTTGACAATATCATAAAAAGTAAAATTCTACAGGGTCCCGAGTCTACGAATTTTCTGGAAACCATTGGAAACACTGGTCGCGTAACGTACTCCTTTTTTAAAGTCGGTTAAAAAGAACGTCTGTTTTATCAATACATGATAACGATTTTCTAGATTTTATCTATTCAAGAGGTGGGGGGCCTCGGATTTGCGTGCACTGTTCAACCCCTCGATTATGTTAATAAGGGGTAGTTTTTAAAAATACATTTGATGACGACCTAGTTGGCTCACTGGCTAGCAAAGAGGAATGTTATTATTGATACTGCCTCCGTGGCCGAACGGTTACCATGCTGGACTGCCATGAAGAGGTTCTAGGTTCGATTCCCAGGCCGGGAGAAATGTGTGTGTGGCCTACATTTATTTCTCTCGTGTGTTTGGGTGTAATTGCGACACTGAGTTTCCCTAGTATGGGACTATGGTGAATGTGTGCGTTATTATGCAAAGACCGAACAAACGCTTGGAAAAATAATTCTGTCAGGCCGGACTCGAACCGGCGACTTTTCGCCAAACCGGGGCTATCGCTCTCCCTATTGATCGGTAATAACAGCATGGAGAATTTTCACAAAAAAGTAATATGGTAGAAAAAACATTATGATGTTCATTAAAAGAAATAATGAAATGGATTTTTTTTTATAATATCCAGAGACGGGGCAAACAAGTCGTGCGCCTGATGGTAAGCGACACGCCTGTCCATAACAGTTGCAGTGCTACTCAGAGCTTTAAATCGCAAAGATGTTAGGGGCATTGCCACTGCTCTCACCCTGAGACATAAGTTAACAAATCCCATGTACATGTAATTTCACCAGCACCCTTACCTTTAAAACCACAACGCAGTAATGCTGACATTACTGCTTGACGGCAGAAATAAGTAAGGTGGCAGTACTTCTTCTAAATGTTACATTTTTATATATTAATTCTGGCGTGGTTGTTCTAGGTAGTCCAACTGGATTATCATTACACTGCTGCTCATGGTTCAGTAATTTTCCCAGTTTAAAACCATGTTAATAGTCTGCCATATTTATTAATTAATTTCATGATAGTGTATAGTTTTAAAGAAAATTCAAACGGTGTAGTGTAAATATATATCTTAATAACCTACGATTAGATACAGGCGTCTAAGTGCGTTATCATACGAGGTTTAAATAACGAACACACACTTATAGCAACGCATTTGGGAAACCACGGAAGAAAAAAATATGGAAGTGCCATAAGCCGCGATTACTATGAAAACCGATGTCGCTAAAACGCATATATTCTTACTTTGAAGCACAACAAAATCTTGTATTGATTGATCGTAATTTCAAATTTAAAAATAATCTCAGTACAGAGTACTAATAAAACAGATCTCAAAATTACGTGGAATTACATATAATTACCAAGTTTTATTGAAATCGGTTACCGGAAAGTGACCGGAAAGTGAGAGCAAACCCGGATTCATCCCGTAGTTCGCCACTATACGGAACTTGACACAGGAGATAATAAAAATCGTTTCTCACTACTCAATGTATATTGAGAGAAAAAAACGCCTTGAATTGGAGAATAGCATAATCAACCATTAAAATAATTGCTCCTTATAATAAAATTTAGGCGCTATTTATAAAAATGTACGTGAACAGCCACCCTAAGAGGTGGATGATTTTCTTCAAAATTAAATGAGACCACTATGGAGGTACCCTTTTTCGAACAAAAATGAAAATCGGTTCACAATACCGGAGAAGTTGAAGTCGGTTAAGAAATAACGAATTCTGGATTGTTAATATAATTTAAACTTACCGTGTTGGCATATCGTTGAATTTTCAATACTGCCGTCCGCTAAGTGACAACATAATTTTTTAAGATATCATAAAAAAACTATAACCATGTTTAAGAATATTTAAATTGTGCAATATTTCGCTCGATATTTCAGCTATGCATCGTTAGGGTAAGTTCCGATAAGTTAAACACGTTAACTAATTTTAACTGTTTTTAAAAGATAATTTTGTTATCTATTTTTTGTTATTTAAAACGGTTATTTGACCGTTTGTCACTAGCCGCGTTTTAGTTAGTGGACGACAGAATACCATCAATACCAATTATTGCAAGTTACGACGTTTTAATATTATATTGAAATTTCAATCAATGTGCTGCCATCTAGCGGTTAATTGCTGAACGACGACGAATTGGAGTTACTAACTTAGTTCTCCAAAAAAAGAAGCGATCATATTGCAGTGGTCTAAGTTTTACTTTCGTTTCTTGTAAGAAAAAAAAAATATTTCGATAAACTGAAAATTGAAAATTTGTTATAATAAGACTTTTCGATGATATGAAATACCACCACGGCACAATAAGGTATTTTTCTATTATTTTAGAGAATTTTCATGAAAGAATGACACAAATGCTTGTGTCATTGTTTCGTGCAAATTCTCTACAAAGCGAAAATGGCGGACTAGGTTCAGACAGGTCTTTCGAGACCTAGTTGGCACGCGTCAGTCGCTAACTAACCACATCTATAGTAGACTTACTTATTGTTCTGTGAGGGAAACCCTGTGTCACGGGTGCCAAAAGTAGCGTATCGAAAAGTAGCGTCGGCAATCCGATAGCTGGTAGTTGCGTCGGCAATCCGATTGCTGCAGATACAGTGGACGCACTGCCACAAACGGAGCCGTTTGATGCGATCTGTCCGATACGTGCATCTTTAGACGCCTACCTTAAAACGATTTGAAAAATGTTACAGGAGAGCGATTTAAAGTATTTTTTTAAAGAAATATCTGGATTATAGAGTATTTGTTTTATTAATTACCTAGCCTAAGCGAGTTGACAGTCGCCGGGTACTTCCAAACTAACGTACAGGTAGAGGCTGCTGCATATCTCCTGGGTTTATCCCTATTGACATCCCACAAGAAAATAACTGAAAGATCCCAACTATATTCTTGTATATTGAAAACAACAGGGGCTGACATTTAAGAAAAGGTCATACGAAGGTACGTTCGCCCTTTGGTTTTTGACGTGGGCGAAGATTTTCTGTAACCTTTTAAAAAAAATCTCGTTTCTGAGATGTGTCTTGAAACCAATATTCGGTCTATGAAAACGGAAGCAAAGACGATTGTGTGATGTTGTGGATACGGATATTCCAAGGACACACACGAACCGTTTCGCTTCCACATTTGTATGGTGAACGGCTATGAAGTGGAATTCCATGCCTGTAGACTTATTCTATGAACGCTATAATAATAGGCCTTTTCAAAGCGAGAGCGAATAGGCATTATTTAGGTGTGCATGCTACATCATCGACCTTCAAGTGAGATGGAGGTCAAATGCGCTCTTTTTTATTTAAAAAAGAGATAGTCTCCTGGTGTACAGAGACGAAATATGTGTGAGAGTGGGAAAATTAACTACATGAAAAAATATTAAACACAAGCGCAGTTATTCTGTACAATTTAACCTTAACAGTGTTCACGGAGTATCAAGGTAACTTACTCCCATTTTTATTTAACTACCTCCACGTCCCGGGTTCGACACCGGGGCCGGGGGAAATATTTATAGTCTCTAAATCGATTCTCCCTTAGTTACAAATTAACTCGATAAGATATTTAAATGGACTTTTTTTCAACTTTCGACTTTTTTTTTCGATTAATAAATTCGATTTACTACATCCCTAGAAACTTCAGATCTCAAACGTCACCGAAACCATGCTATGTGAAATGATCTATAACCCCATGTATCTGTATGGTTTCACCAGCATACTTACCCTTCAAGATCGGATTCGATGTATTCACCAGTCCACATAAAAACTATGGCTCAAAACCTCTCTATAGAGAAGATCCATGCCCAGCAGTGCTAAAACCATAAATCTAACCCATGACCACCTGTGGGATATTACCTGGTACATATATCAATCTAGTCTTCATAAATAAAGCAATAAAGCTCACCCGAATAAAGGGATAGTCGGTATAAAGGCTAGGCATAAAGACTGACTCAGACTGTTGTAACTGCGTTTCATGTTCGACTGTCTAGCAGGTTCAGTCTAGGTCCAAATTTCGCGGAAAAACGCCGATGTATTGAATTGCCACTATCATTATACCACCTACACTACCGCCTGGTGTTAAGCGACCCGCCTGTTCATAACTGTTACTGTCCCGCTAGAGTTTTAAATCGCAAAGATCTGATCGACACTGCCATTGTCCCGTCACCTTGGGACATTTTAGTAGCAGCAGAGCTCCTAGTGTCAGAGTTCGTCCAGGGAAGTACTGCCACCTTACCTATTTCTGCCGCCAAGCACTAATGCGAGCAATGCTATGTTCCGATTTTTAAAGGTAAAGGTGTTGGTGAAATTACAGGCACATGGGACTCGTCAACTTATGTCTCAGGGTGACGAGTGAAGTGGCAATGTCCCTCAAATATTTGCGATTTAAATATTTACTACGTAACAGATACATCACTCCCATACAAAAACGAAAATACTAAAAAGAAATAATTGCCTACCAAATCTGATTAATGACACCAGGCGCTCACTACAAGGAAAAAGGTACCTAAGC